AAAACCAATTCAAACTCCACGCATGGGAACTCCGCAATCGTATAAAATCACTGGAAAACGGTAAATCACGCGGACCAGACGGTATCTCGACAGATTTTATTAAACTCGACGGTGAGGCGATATTTGCCCTATTTGTTAATATTATTCAATATTTCCATTAATAATGCAAGTTTACTAGACGATTGGAAGGCAGCTATAGTTGCTCCAATTTTCAAAAATGGTGATAAAACGAAAGTATGTAATTATAGACCTGTATCCCTCACATCAGTAGTATGCAAAATAATGGAGCATTTAATAGCCGGGTACATTCGTCGCGAATGGGAGAAGGCGAACTGGATTTTCCACGGACAGCATGGGTTTAGAAGCGCACATTCGTGCGAAAGACAAATTGTTTCTCTTTTTCAAGATCTAGCTGACGTAGTTGGCGCGGGTGGGAGGGTGGATGCAGTAGTAATGGACTTCGCATTCGATGTGGTACCGCCAAAGCATTCGATGTGGTACCACATAATTTACTTATTAGGAAATTATTAACCTCAGGAGTTGATGCTAGAGTTGTGAGGTGGATAAGTGAATTTCTTAGGGACAGGAAACAAAAAGTTCGAATTGGCAATCAGTTTTCGACTACGGGTAATGTTACTTCAGGGGTTCCACAGGGAAGTGTGTTAGGGCCATTACTCTTCTTAGCGTATGTGAACGATCTCCATGTGAACATACAATCAAAGGTGCGTTTATTTGCAGACGATTGTGTTATATACCGAAAAATCAAAGATAGCGCTGACGACCAAATATTACAGCAGGATTTAGAGCATTTACGTGATTGGGCTGAAAAAAATGACATGGGAAATAATGGCTCTAAAAGCAAAACAATAACGTTCGGGCGAGGACGAAATTATGAGGAACCAGAATATCGTTTAGGTGAGGTTATCATCCCAAGAGTCTCATCATCCAAGTATTTAGACATTCATCTAGATAGTAAATTAGGGTGGGAGATGCATATAAATCAGACAGTAAGAAAAACGAGGAAGTCTTTGCATTTTATAATGCGAATACTAAAGAAAAGTTCTGCAAACGCTAAAGAATTACCATATCTTACGCTGGTTCGCCCTCTCATGGAATACGGAGTTGCGTGTGGGGATCCATACAGAAAGGCGCACCGTAAACATCTAGATAGAATACAGAGAAAAGCTAATAGGTTTACCTATAGAAGTAACGTAACAAAAAAGTCATGGGAACCTCTAGAAACGAGAAGAACAAAGGCGAGGCTTTACGCTCTTTATAAATCGTACATAGGTCAACCAGCTTGGAAGGAATTTCAGATTAGACTAGAAAAACCAAATTATTTCGGCCGAAGCTATCACACCCACAAAATTCGAGCAAGGAAACAAAATTCAGATCTTGGGAAGTTTTCCTTTAGTAACAGAACAATTAGAGATTGGAACAGTTTACGTGCAGCAGTTTTCAAAGCTTTTCCTCTCAGTGTCCCCAAGTTTAGAAACAAGTTAAAACAAGATGACAGTAACAGATAAGTGCTATGTATTGAAGTCAATGTGCTGGTCAGTGTAATTCAAAGCTGCTTTTTGTCTTGTACTGTATTGTACGTCATTATTATTATTATTATTATTATTATTATTATTATTATTAATGTAAGTGTTGTAATTTTTGCAATTATTGTCTCTTAACTGCCACCGGGTCATACCCAATTGCAGCTCTAATAAATGTATGTATGTATGTATATTGATAATGTTGGTAATATTGGTATTATTATTCTTTTATTCAGAAAGCTTAATTTCATAATGTGTATTTCTTTATTTGTATTTAATATTTTGTAATTTGAATTTCTATTGGTCTGTAATAATTATAATTTTAAATGTATCTATTATTAATATCAATTCTCCCTTTTGTATTTTATATTTGTAATTTTATTTTCTACTGCTCCCTTTATTAATATCCTCCCTGGCATTTCTTACTTATAATTAAATTGGCTAATCATAAATTTAAATGTATCAATTATTTACATTAATTTCTCCCTCACTTTGTCTAACTTTATATTTACTTGGTATATTATATTTTGTTTATATTTGTAGACTGATGATGACGGCAAAGCCGTCTAAAGCTCTCTTAATAAACATACTGTGTTGCGAAGATGACATCTTTCATTTTTTCACCAGTTTCATACATGAAAATTCTTTTTTCTTAAAAAAAACTCAAATACTTGGAGAACAAAGATGGTTTTTGCTGAGCAGGAAGTGTGATTTATGGAAATTTTTTTGCAACATGGAGCTTTATGGTGTAGCGAAGCAATTATCAATGCATTTTACTATGAATATAATTAATTATGCTCTGGTGTTACTTCAGAATTAATTATAATTTTCACTTTCTAGCCACCCAACTTCAATTTTTCTAGCAGTGATTTCTTTTTTAATTTATTTTTACTCGTTAGACAAAAGGTCTTTCGAGGAGTTTCAGTTTTACATGCTGACATTTTTTGAGATTTAGGCACTCCTTGACAAATTGAGGTTAAATACTCTGGTTTATTTAATTCATCTGTTTTCTTCTAGGAGCTACCGAAATTTAATCTTGATTTTTTTGGGGGGGTATAAACTATTGCTTTGTCGTGAAAGGTTCTACAGAGATACGGGATGATATTAGTTTAGGGAGGTTTAAGTATATCTTTGGGAAAATTAGATTTGATGCGACTTGAGATGTTTGCTGTTCGACCTAGGTGGAATTTCAGAGCGGGATGAGATGAAGGAAAGGGAAAAATAGAAATTATTACTCTCCTAATTAAGAATAGAACTTAATTATTATTCTTACTCTTTTTATATGTTCTAACACGGTTTCCATTTGGCGTTCTCTGTGAATTTGATGGCTAGGTATAAGCCATTGGAGCTTTAATTGACTTCCTAAGGACTTTATTGTGGACTATTTGCATTTTTTGTATGGCGATGGAAGCAGAGTTTCCCCACACTAGGAAAGCATGAGTTAGTGTGGGTAGGATAATAGATTTATATTATAGAATCTGGCATTTGGTATTGAATGTGGATTTAAAGAAGGGTATAGTTTTAATATTTTGGCATTGGCTTGTTGATAGCTAAGTGAATATGGGGTTTCCAGGAAAGTTTCTTGTCTAACAATACTCCAAGATACTTTATTCGTTCATTTTTCCAATCTATTTTCAGATAGAGGATTTTTGAAGACTCCTATGACTAAATATCTTAGTCTGGAATTTTTCAGGATTGATTGCGATTCTCCATTTTTTGTCTATTGCATTATGATATTAAGTTTATTCTGGATTCTATTACATGCCAGGTTAAAATAAGAACTTGCTGAAAAGTGTCGTATCGTCAACAAAAAGAGCAGTTTCCACGTTGGAGTATTTGGGTATGTCACTCACGAAGATATTAAATAAAACAGGTGAGAGAACTGAGTCTTGTGGAACCCCGGCTGTGATATTACGAAGAGTAGAAATTTAGTGATTAATTTTGACCATACATTTTCTATCAGAGATAAAGCCTTTAATAATATTCTGAATATACTCAGGGACTCCCAGTTATCTTATTTTAAATAACAGACCGGTATGCCAAACTCTGTCGTACGCTTGTGCAATATCTAGAAAAGCGGCTTGAGTATGTTTTTTCTCTCTCGGAAGCTCTGTGCAATGTACTTAGTAAGCTTTAGCAGCTGGTGTATGCAGGAGTGATTTGCTCTGAAAACAAATTAAATATCTGGTATTGCTTCTGTGTCTGTCAGGTATTTGTTACGTCTTTTTAGTAGAAGCCTCTCAAAAATCTTATAAATTGAGGGTAGGAGACTTATTGGTCTGTAATGTTCAGGGCGTCGAGAATCGTTTCCTGGCTAGCGGAAAGACAGGACAATTGCAGTCTTCCAGGCAGTAGGGAAATAATTAAATCGTAAGATTGCGTTAAATATTGAAGTTAGTCCTGCTATAGAGTTATTATTGAGACTTTTGAGCATCTTATTGCTGATTCCATCAATACCGGGTGATTTTCGTTGTTTTATGATATGGCTGTTTCAGACGGTGAAATAAACTTTATTTTGGTTCCGGAAATTTTCTCCAAAACTGATATTTCGTAATCGATCTGGCTGACGTTGCTGCTCCTTGAATCTAAAACCGATATTTTAATTTTGGGGATTACTTTACATAAAGCTCCTGGGACACTTTCAAAATTTTTAAAAAAGTGGTCCCAACGTTTTTTATTAAATTGTGTTGTTGGACAGTGTGTAGGACGTTGAAGACAATGTTTTAGGCCTCATTTGCATTAAAAACCACGATTTTTCGAAAATTGCAGAAATTAAAAATTATTTCGGAGTTTTCCAACAACTACAATGTTAAAGATAGAGATTTTTCTCTTAATGAAACCTGTTCCTTAAAGATAGATTTTGAAATAAGGTCATGTAATGCATTTCAAAAATTTGAGTACTTTTTGAGTAGTTTTGGGTCAAAAGCCGGGCAAGACAGTACGTGCGCTTTTAGCCCCATTAGTTAAAGTGTCGCTAACAAAATAGCAACCAACTTTCCCCGGCTTTATTTCTACCACCACTAACAAAAGGAACAGTCAATAAAACTTGCGTATATTAAATCCGTTTGTCCAGAAAGTAAACAAGGGGCCATCTCAACAATTGATCAGGGGCCATCTCAACAATAGATCATGGGAAAATTCAATGGAATTTGGGATTGGATTGTAGGAAATCAGAAAAGTTATTTGTTGTTGAACTGTAAAATGTTGTCCTGGCGGCACCTGATGAAAGACAAAACTGGCTACGACAGTACCCTCCCTCAGAAAAGTTTTCATTCATTGGTATGTAATGGGCGAGTTTCCTTGGAGAAGACGTTTGTCAGTGAAGCAGATAGAAACTTGATTCTACTTTTAAGTCTAATTTTAAAAAGAAATTCAGTTTTGACTATTTTACTCTTCTTACAAAGTAGAAATTGGGGATAAAAATTTGATAATTAATAAAGAAAACAACTATCATATTACCTGCACTTAGAGAAGATTCATTTTCTACTTTGGAAGTTGGTGTGAATGACGCTTCGTGAGAAGAAGGTGATTTCAATGGTTGTTCTTCACATATGTGATTATTTTCATGCTCTTTCTGATGACGTTTTGGTAATTCTCTAGGAAACAGAGAAATTAGAAGGGCCACTGTTAATTTGAGACATCCTAGTATCATCCATCCTGAAAAAAAATGTCAATTACCAGTACACAGCATTACTAAATTTAATGTAGATGTTTGCACTTACTTGTATTTAACTGTTACTTATACCTTAATAGTTTCCTTATATATAGGGGTTCAGAAGCCCCCGTCACAAAAAAATACCCCATATTCTATGTTAACATTCATAAATGTTGGCAGATTCAGTTTTCCAGAAAAAAATCTTGGATAAAATTGAGTTTAAATGTTACTTCCGGACGCTATATTCAAGCCTGCTGCCGCGACTCCAGACACCGGCGCGGCGTCTGCCAACGGATCCAGGCATAGCGTCGTTTCTTTGCGTTTTCGGTGAAACTCTCGAGTGAGGTAAAGAGCGTATGTCGCTCACTAGGAAACAGTTTTTTAAAATGGACATTACCATTTCTAAAGAGCTAATTTTGTACAACAGACTCTATCTCCCCAGTCCGGCTCGAGCCGCCAAGGCGAACACTTCGTGCTGAGCTAGCTCTTATCTTCTCTTATCGCAGTTCACATCGCAGTGGTCTCTTTGCTAGTGCCAAGAGTGGCTAGTGCAGTGAAACATCTAATGAATAGTCTCTTTTCTCTATAAAGTGCTAAATATAAAAAATGCAATAGGTGCGATCTGTTCGTGTTTAAAAGTTTATGCTCTGGTCTCAGCCAGAACATTATCCAGTGAACTACTAGTGATTAACGCGCATTGACTACTGCCCTCCACGCTATCACAGTGTTCATGGACCCAAGTATAGACTCAACAGCGGAAGCAATTAAAATGCCCTAGACGCGTTAAATAATACAAACAATGGTGTAAATTCAAACATTGAAATGGCCGAGTGCAATACAGCCACACAGCAGCAATTAGATCTTTAAACTCAACAAAACCGCCAACTTCAGGCAGAGCAACAATCGAAAATGGTGCAAGACCAATAAAAACAGTTCCTACAATATCTTCACGAGCAACGCATAACTATTCCGCAGCTGCAACAACAACGGAGTTCCCAACAGGTTCCGCAGTTTCAGCATTCTTCACAATTGCAGCTAAGTAGCCAACCCCCTCAACAAAATGTAAGTAATGAACTCAATATTTTGAAAAAGAACTCTGCTAAAAGACAAAGAACTTATGATTCTCGTGATATGTATGGCGTACCAGTTTCTAATAGATATGAAATATTTACAGAAGATGAAACTACAAATGAACCAGTCAATACTACCCAATTAGTGAAAATCCCTCCCCTACATGTACTAGGTAAAAATTACAAAATAATATTAGATGATATCAAATCAGTAGCCAAAAACGATTTTTCCACTTGCACATGTCAGAACGGTTTTCTTCACCGGGAAACGGGAAGAAGGTTTTCTTCACCGATATAGAGGACTTTAGAATCTATAAGAAATTTTGTGAAGGTAAATCGAGTGTCGTTTTATACGTATAGGGATCCTTCGATGAAAATCTTTTCAGTTATGCTTATGCTCAATTACCCAGTAATTAAAATATGTAGGTTATATAATAAACAAAGACAGCCACTACAAACTTGTGCAGTGGACTTAACAGAGACTGAAGAAGAAAAATCTATATACAATGTAAACAAATTCATGAATTGTATAATTCAAATTCAACCTAGAAACAAACGTAATGCACCTGTACAATGCAAAAATTGTCAAACATTCGGTCACTCTCAAGCTAATTGTCATGTTAAGCCCAGGTGTGTTCGCTGTGATGGTCACCATCACTATTCAAAATGTACTGTTCCTAAAAATTCCAAACCGATTTGTGTTAATTGCGGCGAGGGTCACACATCAAATTACCGAGGCTGCCATGTTTACCAAGCTCGTAAGTCACGGGCAGATTTCCTTTCAGCGAAAAACTCTAACAAATCGCATCAGGTAACCGAAACACAAGAGCAATCTTCTATTAATTTAAACAATGAAAACTTTCCCAGTCTCAACGCAAACTAACAGCCTGACAAACAGAACGACTACTCGTACCTTCAAACCCACAGCCTCAAATAGACATAACTCAATTCGTAAACACAATAGTAAATCAAATAATTTCAGTTATAATACCCCAAATCCAAAACATAGTACAGTCGTTAATGCCAGTTCTTCAAAATGGCTAATAAAATACAATAAAAAATATTGAATTGGAACGCTAATGGTATTAAAAGTCAGAAGATAATAGTTGAACAATTTTTGCATCACCACAAAATACATATTGCGTGTGTTACAGAAACACACTTAGTACTAAATGAAAAATTTAAAATACCAGGTCACAAAAGATATAGAAACGATAGAACCTCAGAAGTAGCTTCAGGAGGTGTAGCCATACTAGTATTTAACAACTTTAAGCATCAATCGATTCATAGTCCAAACACCCCAGAACTCGAAACAATAGCAATAAAAATAAATATAGGTAGCAATAATTACGAAATAGTTGCGGTATATAAACCACCAAATAAAAAAAGTCCCATTAAAAGCTTATAATGAATTTTTGAGAAACAATACCAATAGTATTCTATTAGCGGGTGATTTAAACAATAAAAATCAAATAGGATGCAATACCACTTCCAACCACAGCACAAAATTATTTACCTACGCAGTATCCAAGGGTATTCATATTCTGGCCCCCCAATTTCCAACACACTATTCATATAACAGTAATGTGATTCCGGATATACTAGATATAGTATTGACCAAAAATTTCAATTTGCCCTTGATTCAAGTATTGCCTGAATTAGACTCGGATCTCTCCCCAGTAATTATCAAAATAAACTGCTCCAATTCGCCATTATCTCAAATATTACAACGTAACGAAACCTTGGGACGAATTAATTGGAATAAGTTTAAGGAGCTAATTGACAACAATATAATATACCCTAGTAAAATCCACACCAACGATGAATTAGATATGCAAATGCTGCGTATAAATCAATCGATATAGAAAACAATTGAACAGTCAACAACACAATGTTTCTCAAGTATTAAAACTAGAAAACCAGTTCCTCTGAAAATAGTAAACCTAATCAAAACTAAACGATAGACGAAAACTTAGACGATATTGGCAAACAACCAGGAGACCAGACCTTAAAGTAAAATTGAATAAAATTTCCAGAATAATTAAATACAGACTAGAACAATTTCGTTATTCTGAATATCAGAATATAATAAAACAATTTTACCCCAATAGCAGACAAATGTGGACTACGATCAAACGAATCATCAAAGAAATCCCTATTTTAAAAAACGATTCAGAAATCGCGTACTCAGACAAAAACAAGGCTAATTTACCAACCAAAAATTTTCAGAAAACCTTCACTCCTAATCCAATTAGCAACAAACAGTTCAACAATTACATTTTACTTGAATCAGCGAAACAAGTTGCAACTGTCCCAGGAAAAATCAAATTTATCTTAACTTCTGAAGTTAGAAAAAACAATTAATCAATTAAAATCTAGAAAGGCAACAGGATATGATAATATTAGCTGTAAAGCCCTCAAAGCACTGACGACAAAAGCAATCGCGTCTTTAACCGCCATTTTCAATTCGGCATTAAGATTAGGCCATTTTCCTAAAAATTGGAAAACTGCTATTATCCTCCCGTTCAACAAACCAGGGAAAGACCGCCAAAATCCATCCAATTATAGACCGATTAATTTACTTCCAACTCTTGATAAATTATTCGAGAAGCTAATATATACGCGTATAAATAAATTTGTTACAGAAATGAAGGCTATACCTACTTTCGGATTTAGAAATAAATACTCAACAACGCACCAACTCCTGAGACTTTCAGAATTCATGGCTAATGCTTTACATCAACACAAACACAACTTAGCAATATTTCTAGACATTGAAAAGGCATTTGACAAAATGTGGTACCCCGGATTACTATTTACACTACAACGTCTGGGTTTACCAAACTGCCTGTATAAAATTATCGACAGCTTTCTAGCAGATCGCCATTTCCTGGTAAGAATCAATTCTACTCATTCTAATCAATGTCAACGTAGAGCCGGCGTCTCTCAAGGATCATGCCTATCACCTTTACTTCTCAGCATATACTTATCGGATATCCCAAAACCAGCTGACTCAGAAATCGCCCTCTTCGCTGACGACACCGCTTTATTTACAGCCCTCGAGGATATACTCTGTGCTTACGACAACCTTCAGAACGACTTAACATATATCACCTGGTCTGAACAGTGGAAAATCAAAATAAACTCGCCCAAATCTCAAGCAAAAATCTTCACACTTCGAAGACCACCGATCCTTCCCCCCCCTTAAAATTCAAAATTCAAAAATGGCTTCCCAAACAAACGGCAGTTAAATATTTAGGACTAATGTTAGATGCAAAATTAACTTGGAAAGACCACATTAAAACAGTTGCAAACAAAACAAGCAAAAATTGCTAAACTTTATCCTCTTCTAAATTCTAAATCAGCTTTAAGTATTGAATGTGGAACTAAAATTTATAAATCGATATTACGACCAACAATCTCGAATGCTAGCCCAATTTGATGTAATGTAGCAAAAACACACATCGAAAAACTACAAATCATTCAAAATAAATGTTTAAGAAAAATATTTAAGGCTCTGGTTTATTAGTAACAAACAACTTCACAGAGAATTACGAATTGAGTCAATACAAGAACACATCCTAAAATCCTCGAGCAAGTTCTTTGACACTCTTTCAGGATCTCCTGCCACGCCCAACTAAAAACTCAGCAAAAACTACCGAAAACCAAATAGAATATGCTCAAGATTTCCCAAGGATAAACTCAGACCTCCACAAATACTCAACGTCATTAATTCCCAACAGCTATTAATATAAAATAATAACATATAAATATTTTATTCAATAAATTACAAAAATAAATTCTCATCAAATCAATTTTCAAAATTATACATTGAACACAGATTGTTATATTCAGACCAATTAGCGTGAGAACGAATGTCAAAGCATTATTTTGTAAAATGTTAACACCCCTGAAAGGCATCAATGCCGAAC